TAGGCTTTTTAGGGATGCAATGTTTTTGTCTTGGTGCAATGTTTTTTTTTCTCCTCGCGAACAAAAAATGATATTTTCATAGCAAAATGCATGTTCGGGAGGTATCTCACCTGCACTTTTGTTCGGGAGGTACCTCAAAAAGTCAATTTTAAGAGTTTTTGTCTGAGTAGACTCCCCATATTTTCGAGAAAAATAACTTTGCGCCAAGATACCATCAATGAAAAGCCTATATTTAAGGATTTTTTTGGCCAAAATGCGTTTTTTTCAGAGTTGAAATCGAACCAAGCTAATATGCGGATCATCTGTTGTTTGACGGACAACGTGACTTCATGCATGAGGTGGTGAGCGTAAATAATGCCTCGATATTTGTGGCAATTCTGCCACAGCATGCAAGAGAATTTTGAAACCATACGTGGTTCCACGGCATATGCTATCCAAATCATGAACATGCAAACCCACATGCTAGACTAACATTAAGAAAAAATCACTCTTTCATTTTACTTTTCCACACGACCATGTCGTGTAAGAAAAGTATTGGGATCGCCCCAGATTTTTTGACCCACAAAAAATCAGTTTTTTTTTTCGATTTTTGAACGCCGAAAATCAAAAAATCTATTTTTATTTTAGGGTCGTAGGGTATGTGTGTACGCAAAAAATGAGAATAGCGTTCACCCCAGATTTTTTGATCTATTAAAAAGCAGTTTTTTTTCGATTATTAAACGACGAAAATCGCGAATTCTAGCGTTATTTATGGTATGTAGGGTAGGCGCGTGGTACACTATACGCTGTACGCAAAAATACGATAAGAATTCTGCTATGTCACAATGTATGAAAAACAGAGTATTGAAATCGCTCTGATATTAAGGTCTGATTAAAATATGATTGAATTTCAATGCATGGAGAATTGGATTTGATTGGAAATTATATGTTTGGGAGTGTAGAAAAGTTAACCTTATGAATGTAAGGCATCTTGTTTCCTGTCAAATACAGATTTGGTGGACAAGAAAGCCTCTGCTTTTTCGAAGTGTTTCACTAACATTTTTGCAAGTGTAATAATTTTCTTTCTCAAATTCAAAATGCTACTCTGCTGTTATTATGAACGATTTTTTCTTTTCACATTATGAAAAAGACAATTCAAGAGAATTCCGGTTTGCTGTAGAAAATGAATAAATTCGTTTATGTAATGAAAACTTTCCTGTCGATTTGAGTTGTTTTTGTTGAGAGATGTGTTGTTGTTATTTCCGTAGTTGCATATATTTTACTTCGACTTGTTCAGGCATTCGTGTTACCGGAGGAGGAAGTGTTCAATCAACCGTGTTATACACACTTTTCGATCAATGCATTGCCACAGCCCGAACAATATGGAAAACAGTGTGAGCGGAAATGTCCGATAAGATATTTTTGGCTGACAAGTGATTTTGACGGAATAGAAATTCTCACATACTTTTCACTTTGTTTGTTTAGGCTTGAAATACCACAACAAGACTCTACCGTATTTCCGATTTCACGATGAATTCAACCACTTAATATGGTCTATTTATTGCATTGGCCGCAGGATGAAGAGAGCTGCTCAAACTCTTTGACTCGAAAATTGACACGATTCAATAAAAGTTTAGTTATTTGGGAAAAAGGAAGGAAAATCAATGGCAGTTTTCGGGCCTGTTTAAACTTGATATTACGTTTATCATTTTTTCTTCTTTTTTTTTCTCTAATATTTTTCAAAAACTTCCTGTTACATTCAGTTCCTACAACTATAAAATTAACCCATATGTTAATTATTTAGAAAAGAAAATCGGTTGAAAATGCATTGGACTGTACAGTACTCCGGATTTTGGCATATTGGATTTATAGTACTGCTTTAGTTGAAGCTCAAACTGCAAACTGTACATAAAATAGTTGTATAACTTCTGAGAAAATGCATAGTTGAGACGAAAGGAGAGAAACAGAGATACAGACCTTACGGTGTTCAGCGTCAAATGAATGATAGAGGCGAACCGAGACGAAGCGCAACCGAAAGTATCGCAGCATACTTCAATATTTCTAGTCAGAACTGTTTTTAAAGCAGTGAATAGCTGAAAATCGTAATGGGTTCAGAGAAAAAAGTTTGAAAGTTTCGGACTTTATTAAATCCAGCGATGCATTATACCTTCGCTAAATATTTAGCTAAAGTATTACAAAGAGTTGATTATGCTTGGAATGTCAACAAATATGTTCAATTCTTCGCATGAATTGGTTCAAATGTGCATTTTTTCCCCTTCCGTAAAATGGTATTTACATAGAGAATGTACAGATGAAAAAAGTGTATTGCAATTGATTTTCCGCTGCGCATAAAAATGAAGATATCGCGTTGCAAAAGTGCGGGAGAGTGTGGATGTGTTTTTGTTGTTGTTGTGTTCTGTTCGTGTCCATATAAATGCAAGTCCTTGAAATCCGTTGCATCTGTAGCATTTGTTATTATCATTTTTCTCGCGTCTTTGTTGCGTAGCATCGCCATGTTATTGAATGTTGTTTTTGGCGCGTATCTTAGTAAATTCACCCACTAGACTAGCGTAGAGTGCATCGTGGAGATGGGAAGTGGATGAACAGTATGGACACGATGTGATACAATGTCTTAGAGGGTGTAATTTAGATAGAGAGAAACGGTCGTTGCATCTCTCCCCGGCGAATCGAAAAATGAGCGCTTCACCTTCAACTTGTTGATTTTCTCTCTCTCTATCTCTCTCTCTCTCTCGCGGAACGAGGAAAATTGCAACAATTCAAAAAGTTTAATAACCGGCCATTGTAACGCATTCGAGATGCGTTCGACTGAAATAAATGTTTCTATTATTACTGGTGCAACGAGGCACTAATGAGCATTTTTGCTGCGTTTGAACACGGGAAAAAAGACAACGAGATAGAAAAAAAACGCAATGGTGAAAAACTCATGGCAATGTCTATAACGAAAAAAAGGCGAAAAATTGTGTTTACAATTTGAATTGCAGATGTTTCGTTCAATGGCAGCCCCATTAAGCAGTAAAGTACACGAGTGCACTTGCAGTGCTCTTTGACATTCATCGAGGTCGAGTGCGTCTCCCGCGTTATGTCCACCACTTAACGCACATATTGCATTCGTGCCAACTTTTCTGCACAATGTTTTTTTCTGTTCAACCAATCTTTCTCCCAGTGTTTGCTTTTAAACGTTTTTTCTGCTCCATCTCCGTTCATTTCCTTGAGTCTTGTGTGCCAAATTTCAACCAGTTGCAAACACTTTAACCACCGAACGCATTCATTTTGAAGCAACGAACACCGCATGTACTACAGCACAACGAACGAACGAACGAGCGAGCGAACGAACGAGAAAAAAAACACTGTGTTTATACAACATTCCTCACATAACGGAGCATGTCTGTCGATATAGCGCGTTGGACCATGCCAAACTCTCGGAATGTTAAATCAAAATTGAATATCAAATGATTCCGTTCTTTGCAAAATGCGGGGATCACCACCGCGTTTTTCGACTCTCAAGCACACACTCGTATACATACACAATCATGAACCAACCATCCCGAAACCCACCGGAGAGACAGAAAATTGCAAAACTCTATCTCGCATCTCATTTCATATGAAAGAAATTATTTGTTTTTGAGAGCCATGTTTTGTCATCTTGTTTACTTGCAACAAGAATTTAGTTGGAGTTTTTATTTTCAACGCTAAGGCGAGCAGATTTTTCCAATGCAGAGATGAGCAGCTATTTTTTTTTCGTCAAGAATTCAGAGAAAAACGGATGTTCACCAAGCATAAGGTACGATATGATTGAACGAAAACCAAAAAAAAAAAAACAAGGAAAACATCTGAATCTCCCGAAAATATTTGGAAATGTAAATTCTTGTGCCCGTTATATGCGTGCTGTATGATGAACATGGGATTTTTTCGAACATTTTATTTCATTTACCTTGACTATTCATATGAATATCACATATTATAAATACAAAATAACGTCAAAACTATTTGCTTCGGTTTAATATACAAAATATCGCTGGTGCACAAAATAGCAGATCAAGATAAAACAAGCACGAGAGAGAGAAATAGAGAGATAAAGTTGGAACTCTTTCCAATTTTAATTTCATATCATCTCGCTATTCGGTATACCATGAGGATTTGAAAAAAAATAACAACAACATTCTACCGTTTTGCTACAGTAAATATTTTTACATGCGAAAAATACACATTTTATTCTTTCAACAACAACATTTTTAGCCATAGCGACAACAGCAAGAACAGCAAAAGCAATAGCATCAACAGCAACAACAGCCACAGTAGCAACGGATCAACATCCCATCAAACATAATTTCTATTTATTACAAGAGAATGCATTTCGTAGCATGGATTTCAATTTATTCACTCGATCTCTCAATCTCTCTCCTGCTCTCCCTCTCTTTCTCATTCTTTCTCTTTCCCCTTCGCTCTTCACTGAATACAATTTTGCATGCGCTGCATGAAGCAAATACATTTTGCACCGAATCATCATTATTTACAAAAACAACGCCGAATGCATGCGAACAACGTGCTGACAACGAAAAAATTCGTACTAAAAAGAGAAGCAAAAAATGCTGCAAAGCTTCAAGAACGGCACACCGCTGTACATTGCTGATGTACACAAGCATAATAGATGAATTTCATAATTCTACCCAAAAATCGTAGTTTTTCCAATGTCATTTTGAGTTAATATTTATGAAGAGATTGAAAAAAAATGGTTTCAATTAAAATAAATGAAGAATATGTAAATTTACAATCGAAATAAATTTCAATGCAAAAAAAAACCTCTTTTGTTCAACTGAATGCTTGAAGTAAATCGAATCGTATGCATTGAAACGCCCCATCGTTTTATCATCGTCACTTTGTCAATAGGGACACGCTCGTCCATGGTGTGTGCAACGTGAAGTTGTCAACGAGTTGGGTGTGTATGTGTGTGAGTGTATGTGGTTCGCAATCCATCGACATTTAGTCATGACGTTTGACACTGTTTCACAGAAATTGATTTGGTCGCATTCGCTCTCTTCTGTCTCTGTGTGTATGCGTACAGGCGAACGGTGTTGTGCACAACAAACAAATTACAGAATTTTTTTTTTCATTTTCTTGTGCGACAGAGAAGAAAAGAAATCGAATTGAACACACCGAAATAGTACAATTCATTTCCATTGAATGGTTTGTATTCTGCAAAAAAAAAAAAGCAAAAAAATCATTTTCCGTGCGAATTTTTGTGTTTGAAAAAGTGTGTTGAAAATCGATAGCATACAGCATTGAAATTTTTTTTTTGGGTCCGTGTCAAAGTGAATCGCATATCGGGTGGAAGAGAAGACATTTTTTTCTCTCTCTTCTTCGGCCAAAGTTAATTGATTAGGTCGCCGATTACTGTTTCATTTTGACAGTCATCGTCATCATCAAACAAAACGAAAGAAGAAGAAAAAAAATATCACACACAAAAAGGCGATTTTTCGTTGGTCTGTCAATATTTGGTATCAGTTTTTGGTTTCGGAATTTATTATTCCTTTTGGACTGAATTTCGGTCGACAATTTTTTTTTATCGCATTTATTTCATTGCAACAATTGATATGTGAGTATTTTTTTAGTGGAAAAGTCATTTGTATCCAATATTTCCAAACAAATGGTGTGTGTGTGTTGTTCTGGTTCATGAGTGAGAGACAGTGATAAGATTGGATATTTAGGCCTGAGATCTGAAAATGAGCCGTTTTCAGAATGACACAAATGCCTGAACGAAAACCAAAAAAAAAAAACTTGTTGTTTGAATCATTTTTATCACATACTCTCAGCAAGTGGGTGGTTTTTTTCTGTGTTCGATGACATTTGATAGTCGCATCCTGTTTTGTATTCGATATCATTGTGTTGATTTTTGATGAATTTTATGAAAAAGTTTTTTGTTCTAACAAAGTAAAGGAAAAAAAACCCGTTTTTCGTTTCAGTGAATGTTCTTTTTGCCGTTCCAAATGGATGAGACAGTGGCAACCGATCAATAAGAATTTCCAAACTAATTTGATTGTTGCAATACAGACAGAAGAGACAAAGAGAGAGAGAGAGAGTGAAGGAAAAGGAGTGAGGCAACCAATTCGGCTGGCTGAAGTGGAACCGAACCAACAATGATCGGCGGTTTATTCGTGTACAATCACAAAGGTGAAGTGCTCATTTCACGCGTTTACCGTGATGACATTGGCCGAAATGCAGTCGACGCATTCCGAGTCAATGTGATTCATGCTCGGCAACAAGTGCGATCACCCGTTACGAACATCGCACGCACCAGCTTCTTTCATATCAAAGTATGTAGACAATTATACTTCTTGTGAATCAATTGATGTGTGTGTGTGTGTTTAGATCTAAATTGAATATATCCGGTGTCTGTTTCTTTTTCTCACAGCGAGCCAATATTTGGTTAGCGGCCGTCACCAAGCAAAATGTCAATGCAGCTATGGTGTTTGAGTTTCTACTGAAGATTATCGATGTGATGCATTCGTATTTCGGGAAAATATCCGAGGAGAATATCAAAAATAATTTTGTGCTCATCTATGAACTGTTGGACGGTATGAATACACTTTTGGATTCGAAATGGGATTTGAGTTGGGTTTTGGCGCTCAATCTGTGTCGACCGATTCTTTCCTTTATTTCTCTCTTTTCTTTCTGTTTTATACTTAAAAATGTGAACCGTCTCAAATTGATCGTCTTCCTTTTTCCCGCATAGAAATTTTGGACTTTGGCTACCCGCAGAACACTGACACCGGCGTACTGAAAACGTTCATCACTCAGCAGGGCATTAAATCGGCAACGAAAGAAGAGCAAGCCCAGATTACATCTCAAGTATTGTTTTGTTGTCGTTTTTTGGATTTTCTCTTTGTCATTTATCTACATTCTTATCAAATTCGCTCACTGCCTCTATCTCTCTCTCTGGTCATTTGTATTTCGATTAAAAATGGTCGGCTCCGAGTGTACGTGAGAGAGAAAGAGCGCGCGTGCAACTGGAACTTCCTCTCACTTTGGAACATTCCAGATTTGTTTTACATAAAAAAAAAGTGCATTTGATTGGCATGCGAACATTTTTTTTTTTCGACTGAAAAGAAGAAAATGAGCACATGAAACTCAAATCCGAACGATTTGTACATAATTTAGGTAACAGGGCAAATTGGTTGGCGTCGCGAAGGTATCAAATACCGCCGAAATGAATTATTTTTGGACGTACTCGAATACGTTAATCTATTGATGAGCCCACAAGGTCAAGTATTGTCGGCTCACGTTGCTGGAAGAGTTGTTATGAAGTCTTATTTATCAGGTAAGAAGGTTTCGCAACGCAACAAAAACTACAACAAATCATAAATCAGAACAATCAATTTATGCAGTTAATGCACAATCACCAGTTCCCTCTCTGTCAATTTCTTTCTTAAATCGATTCTTGTTGTCGAGTCGCAAACACATAAGTTCGTGCGTTAAACTGATTTTGCAATCGGATTCTAACACTTCTTCTCTAAATTTCACTTCACACGGTGCACTAAATGTTCACCGATCCGTTTCCATTTGAAACTAATTTGCTTTTGTCGAATCGCATGCAATCACACAATCGACATGATCTCCACTTCCCATTTGACTCTTTTTAATATGCAACTTACATTTTAACACATGTTAATCAGCATGGTTTTAGTCCATCATTTGACACATGACTTGACATCCATAAGTCTATCTCTCTGTCACTCTATCTCTTTGTCTTTCTCACTATCTCTCCCTCTCTCTCCCTCTCTCTCTACATTTCCCTCTATTTCTATTTGCGGGTGTTTTTTTTTCGTGTCAAACACTTAACCAATTTCAAAACACCATTTTAATTGACATAAACATACAAAACCTCCGAAGATGATTTGGCTTCGTAACGCTTTTATCAGTAAAACACTCTCACGAAATGTCGCGTTTGCTTGTCTCCAAGACGGTTTGCACAAGCCCACATGAATTTCGTGGCCATTTTCTGCAGCTGTTGATCTGTATTTGTTCAATACTTGGATTTTTTTCCGTTCGTCGGTCGCATTCGAATTTGGAATTTTGCATTACTACAGCCGGACTGTAACAGTCCATTTCAAGTGCTTTATTCTAAGTTTCCGAGCACTTGGCATGGGCATAAATGCGTTTGCAAAGGTGAAATGTGCAAAATCTTCGATTGAACAAATAATTTCACCGGAAAGTGGCTCTCTTTCTATTTTGTCAACAGTAAACAGTAATTCGTTTATTTATTTGGCTGGTGAAAAACCATCATTTGTTTTTCGTTCGTTTGTTTAGTTTGCTTTGGATTTTATTGTTTTGATTTGTTCACAATTTTAGCATTTAAAATTATCCGTTTAGTTAATCATTCGAAATTGCAATTTTCGATATTCATTTCTATTATTTTCTTTTTCTTCTTAATTTCTTTCATTTTCATTACGAAATTTATTCTGTTTTCGGTTGACTAAATAAAAAAAAACACACACACACACAATCAAACCATTTAAATGTTATTCATCGACCGAACCAATTTGCCTGTGCACAAAATTAAACCCATTTGCGCATTTCTGCGCGCAAACGTACGACATGTCTTCAGGTATGCCTGAGTGTAAATTCGGCATCAACGATAAAATTGTGATGGAAGCCAAGGGCCGTGGCGGCATATCGGGCAACTCAGAAGCGGAAACATCGCGTTCGGGCAAACCAGTTGTTGTGATTGATGATTGCCAATTTCATCAGTGCGTGAAATTGAGCAAATTTGAAACGGAACATTCCATCAGCTTCATACCACCGGACGGTGAATTCGAGCTAATGCGCTATCGCACCACCAAGGATATATCATTACCATTCCGTGTAATACCGCTGGTGCGAGAGGTGGGACGTACAAAAATGGAAGTTAAGGTACATTTGGCTGAGAGGTGGATGGATAAATTTTTGTTTTATTTGCTTCGAAATTTGAAAGAAAAATAGTTTTATTTGTTGTCCCTGTATAAATTCAAAACCAGAAATGGCTATGATCACGACCGTAACAATGACCATACTGTCGTAGTAATAACCCTTGCCAAAATTCCTAACAAGCGAATCTTAAGAAGACTTGTAACAACACGACAAACTCTCAACTCGATCCAACAAACGGGGCATTGATCTGAATCGATACACATTTTTTATTCGATTGAGAGTTTTTCGACCAATTCAAAGCGGTTTCAATGAACAATTTTGTGTTCATTGTAGAATAAGATAGGATATGACGCCGAGGACCAATTAAATTTCGATGAAATAAGAAACAATTCAATGAAAATTTAGAGCCGATTCAAATGTAACGTGCTTTTTGAAGCACGATGTTGCTTTTTGTTGACCAAATTTATGCTTTTGATAAGGAAAACAATTCAAAAAGACTAAAAATATCCAAGTAAAAGTGTTATACTCAAAATTCTTTTATTTCAAATAACCTCGTGCAGCTTGGCGTCATTTCCTCCACTTCCATATGTTTGCAATGATGTTTGAACTTTGACAAACAAGCTTCTACAATGGAAATTAAATGCGAGTGGAGACGCCATAAAAATGACTCCAAAATCGTCGATTAATGATCGAACTACTTTAAGCACATTTTAAAAAATGTTTGAAAAAAAATCGAGAATTCGAAAATTTTGATAAAATTGAAAAAAAGAGTTCATTACTCAAAGAATCAAAATTGAAATAAGAAATGTTGCCAACCCAATTTATCATTTTGTATAGACATCTTATTCCATTGTCAACAATTTATCATTTCTTCTCGATTGATTTCTTCCAGGTGGTGCTCAAATCAAACTTCAAGCCATCGTTGTTGGGCCAAAAAATTGAGGTGAAAATTCCAACTCCGTTGAATACATCTGGTGTGCAATTGATTTGCCTAAAGGGTAAAGCAAAATACAAGGCGTCGGAAAATGCAATCGTTTGGAAGTGAGTATTGTTCTTCTCTTCCGTCTTCTTGTGTATACCAGATTGGTACACTTTACCATAGATTGATTGAATATATTTACGGATTAATTCGGTTGAAAATTTCAAAAAAAAATTTTTTTCAGAATTTTGAATCCTTTGATTTCAACTTGAAATCAAAGGATTCGATTGAAATCTTGGTTGAAATTGAAAATTAACCAATTTTCGCTTTGATTTGCGGTTTTAATCGATTTGTTGTCGTTTTGTCGTTTAGGATCAAGCGAATGGCTGGTATGAAAGAGACTCAGTTGTCGGCTGAAATCGAATTGTTGGAAACAGACACGAAAAAGAAATGGACCAGACCTCCAATTTCAATGAATTTCGAAGTACCGTTTGCCCCATCTGGTTTCAAGGTAAATGTTATTCCACATATACAGATTGCTAGAACGAATTGTTGGAACAAGATAAAAAGTTAAAATTTTGTTTAGTCAACACCAACTGGTTAGGTTAAAGCTAAATTTTCTGTTAAAATTAAAACTGAATCAAAATTGATAGTTTTGAATGAAAAAAATTAATTAAAGAAAAAATGTTGGCAAAAAACGTCGAAATTTCTAAATAAATTGGTACTTGAGAAGATTCAAATAAATTTAAACTAAAATAATTTTTTTATGGAAAAAAAATCACCAAATGGTTCATGCATTATTTTAAGAAATTTTTAGAGCTGCCCATTTTCAAGAGAATTTAAGTAAAACACTGCCCATTTTTGAGTTTTGAGCTGCCCATTTGGGATTTAGAACTGCCCAAATGGGCAAGAGCTGCCCATTAAAATAATGCATGAAATGGTTTGTGCTTACTTCCAACATTGATATTGATTGCATTATTTATCCACAAACATAGTTTGTTAAGAAAAATATTTCATTTTAAATCATGGTTTAAATTCGATCCAAGAAATGTCTATAACAAAATTAATTTTTCCAATAATATTTCCTATTCCACTCTAAACTTGATTTAATTGGAAAAAACTGAAATTTTGTTGAAAAAAAAAAACCGAAATTGACTAGAAGTTCCAAAACAATTTAAAAACCATGTAACAAAATGTACAACACAAACATTTGTATGGACAAATATTGATTCAAAATTTGTTCCGCATCCATTCCATTTTAGGTTCGTTACTTGAAAGTGTTCGAGCCAAAGATCAACTATTCGGATCACGATGTTATCAAGTGGGTGCGTTACATTGGTCGCAGCGGTTTGTATGAGACGAGATGTTAAGCGCGGGGCCATTTGGACGCAATAAAATTTAAAACTGAGCAAAAACAAGTAAAATCGATCGAAAGAGCACAACATGATCTACCATCGAATGCAATTGTCCGAAGCATTGCACACAGTAGAACCAGAATACCATTCAGCACCAGCTCATAAAATAACAGCAAAAAAGAGAGAAAAAAAACAGCAACTTTAACAACAAAAAATAAATATATTAATTTTCTTCCCAGCTCTCTTTCTTTTGAGTATTTTCACCATCAGCAACAACAGCAACAGGAAAGAAAGAAACTAAAAACAAGAGAGTAAATTGTTTATCAAAATAAAATTGGTTTAAGTAAATAGCTCGAATGTAAAATTATGTAATAACTGTATCAAAATGAACAAAAAAAAAAACAAACTCAACAAATTAAGCTCGATTTGATGATACAACAAGAAAGAAATGATATTAGAAAAATCAATGGCCATTCGGTGCAAAAAAAGAAGAAAAAAAACAGTAAAAAGAAATCAGACTCAATACGAATTGTTACAGTTGTTCGAATTTCACTTTGAGTTGAGAATCTCTTCATTTTAAGAAGCAAAAAAAAAAATCATTTCTGCGTTTTTAACATAAGCAAAAAAATTCATTTCCGCCGCAGAAAAATCGCTGCATTTGAAAATAAAAACTGCGACCAGAGCGTTAAACTACACAAGTTATAAAATGCAATATTATATATACTTTGAACAACTCAAATCGGCAAATCATCCATAAATTCCGCGAATAGAGATTTAAAAGCAAACAAACCCAATTCGCATCGTAACTAATCAGTCTATTTATGATAAATTGTATTGGAATTTCGCAGAAATACCAACAACAAGCAAATTTCGAGCATATAGAACCAAACCACATGCGAAAACACACACACATCATATTTGTGAAGGGTCAAACCAACCGAGAAATACCTTTTAAAGAGAGAAAAAAAGAAAAAAAAATCTATATTAAATTATCCATAATTGTATCAAACAAAAAACACAAACAAAATATCTATCTATTATATTGAGAGGCAAGAATGTGTCCCATGTAATATTGTATTAATTATATTGTGTTGATTTTAGTTCAAATAAAGAAGTTTCAAGTGAAAAAAAAAAACACACACACACACATGAGTTATTTTCTGTGCAAAAGACATAAGAGGATTTGTGCGCTGTTGTAACACAGACACGAGCTGTGCAAATGGGCAGCAGCTCAGAGTCGCAAGAGAGAGAGAGAGAGAGAGAGATTTACGTGATTGTGCAAAAATGTTTGAAAGTTCAGTCAAGTCAGTTAAATCAGAGGCCAAGGTAAATGCCACAATTACTTTCAAATGCAAAACAAACCGCTCAATTTGAATGAAGAAAACCGCATCGCAACCAATTTTTAGATTGAATTCGATGTTGAACATCAGATTCGATTAGATTCGTATTGGCTATTATTTGGGATTTTTCACATTTTAACCCTTCAATTTCAGTCTTTTTCAATTTTATCGCCGTCATTTTCTTTTTCATCATGTTCTTCGTCCTTTCTTCTTCATCATTTCTTCTTCGTCTTTTCTTCTTTTTCTCCTGACATTCTGTAAATGGATCAAGTCATTTTCTGCAAATTTCAGAAGACAAAATCCAATGAAGTGCAATTTAAACTGATCAAAGCGTGTAAAATCGCAAGCGATGATCGAAAAATGCAATGCGATAATGAAATGAGGCTATAGATAGAGATGGCAAGAAGGCCGTTCGAGTGTACTTGTACAAACTGAAGGCTTCAATCAGCACGTGTGCAACGGTCGAAACAAATGATTTTCTCTCTTCTTCGGTTTTAATGTTTCGTACTCTTTTCCACGTCCAGCTGGACTGATACCAATTGGAATTGTCATCTTTCTTTTCGGCCACCACCACTACATACGAACAGAGCTGCTGAGTTCAATCCAGCATGGCAATGACGCGAAATGTGGAAAATCTGCTATTCACAACCACCACGTTCTCAAAGTAGCGCACACATACGGAGAGATACGGCGGATGTGATGAGACTCTTGTTGAATCTAGCATTTTTTGAAAGTATGTGCGACCCGCTTTCGGATGGTAATGTCTTATTTGATGGTAGTGGTGAGAGCGCGCGCGATTCTTTCACCGTGTTTTTTTATGTATGAGACTGTTGATGTTCATCTCATTCTGATGGCCATTGCATGGCAATGGTGTCGATTGAGAAAGAGCGATATTTTTCCCGAATAACGACATACACTTGTGTGTGCATGTGTAAAAGCGCACACACACACACACATACACACACATCGCATCGTGTTGCCGTTGTGTTTCCACAACATCGCAGCTGTGCCGTGTGACAGTTTGCTTAGGTCAGGCGGCTGAAAACACGTACAAAACACTCACTCTACAGTTTCGGTTAAATTGTGCGGTGTATTCAAAACAAAACAAAACAAAAAAATCAGATCGGATAAATCAGTTGAACAATAATTGGAGATCGAACAATTTTTAGTGCTGAACATTTGTAAAAGTGAAATATTTCGTAAAAAGTGAGATGACAGTGATCAACGAATAACGGATACAATTCAAATTGTAACGGTATGCAAAAATGTCATGGTTTTATCGACGAATTTTGGCGGAAATGAACGCGGTACAAGAATTCAAAGCCGAAAAATTCACATTGATAAGCACACGGAAAAATTGTTGACATTGTTATGACAGCCGAACGCAGAGTGATTTGAACGGTTGATAAGAGCCTCTAAACCGACCAAAACATTCAATTGGACACGTTTTCTCTCTTGCTCTCTCGCTTTCTGAAATGGAAATCAAATGAACGGTTCCGTGTGCGAAAGAGAAAGAGACCAATTGACGATGGATTGCATTTTCCATCTCTGTTTTCCACCGTGCATTTTCCTTGGCATTTCTATGCTGTATTCATATACATGTGTCTCTGCTCTGCACACCAAGCCACTGTGTGCTTGGATGCTTGTGTGCTGCCTGTGTGTCGACATGATGTGCATACCCGATATATATTCTCTATCTCGGTTTTTGGAACTGTTCGGCACACATTCTCTCGTTCGCTGGCAGTTGAAAAGTTTCAGTGAAGCACAAAGCACACAACAACAAAGAGAAAATCAGTAGCGCGCGCTTGTTGTGTGGATACGAGCAACAGCAAGTTTACGAAATATTCGGAAGAAAGTAGAAATCGAACGAAGAGAGAGAGAAAAAAACAAAGTGGAAAAACTGTATCGCACACACTGAATTGTGTGTGACACAAAGCCATACGCAGCAGCATTCGGCGCGCTCACGTCCTCTGTGTACATACGCATGCAACGGCAACAACAAATACACGCTGGCAAAGCACATAACAACAACGTGTGCCATAGATAGAGATAGCGTAGCAAATTGTGCCCTTTGACAGAACGAAAAAGGTGATTGAGTTTGTATTCTCTCGGTGTGTGTGTTTGTGTGAGAGTGAATAACGGCCCGTTGTTGCGCCTCCTTCAGAGCATCCATGAAGCACTGTGTTCGAACGATATGTTCTTATCCACTTGTTTTTTCCCGAAAATGCGCTTGTGTACGTGAGTGAGGATTGTATTCGAGTTGATTGCCGTGCGTTTGTGTTTCTTTTTGAGTCGAATGGTTGTGTGCGTGCGCGTGTGTATGTGTATAAAAGCTGAAAATGCTTAAATGCTTCAGTGAACAGTTACGAATTGAGAACGTGAACATGTATTAAATGCCGATCGGTTCGCTGAATCAAGAACTGTTTCCAATTATTTTGATGATCCAACGAAATTGTCACCCAAAAACAATTGCAAGCCCATTAAAAACCGTACTTCATTTTGTTTGACGATAGTCAATTTGATTTGATCAAACCCAACAAAAAAAAAACGGTTCTAATCGTCGGAAATGGACAGGGAATTCGTTATTTCCCGCAATAAAACTGTGTTTTCCCCCAGTTGCAACTTGCAGGCAATGAATGTATGCTGCCTGCTGAGCGTGTATCGTGTCTCGCATGTGTGTTGTCGTTCTCTTTCGCTAGAAGCACATGTATTTCCCGATTCCGAATGGGAAAAACTCTGATTTCACGTTCACTTCTAGGCCGTTTTTCTATGTGTATGTGTGCGCTCTTATATTCCATACACACAGTTCGTGTTCGCCAACATACATTTCGTCGTTCTCGTGTGTTGTTGTTTTTCCCATGTCACTTGCTGGTCTCTTTCATGCCTTGTCACACTTGTCGTCTCTTTCACACCACCATCCACTACCATTGACTTCCTTGTTGTCTATCCCGTGCTTTCGCCGAATTCAATCAATGTTCTCTTTCCAATTTTCCGCGCTCGTCGTCACACTCTCTCCGCCTCGCTTTCTCTCGCTCTTGCACACACACTTTCTCCATATGCTCATGCCAAACACAAAAATAAAACATGCACACGGTGATACACACTGAGAGCAAGTGACCCATTCATTGATTTTTGTTTATTTTAACTAAAACTACGAATTGTGTATAGTTGTTCGATGTTGTGTGTTGTGTTTTATTTTGTGTGTTGTTCAAAATCGAAATAAAAAATCTAAAAAAAAATATCCATAATACAATAATTGTTTAGCAGAAAAATCTAGTGTTTGTATAAATCATTTTCATCCACTAAAATCCAATTGAATGCATTTTCGAAATGCATAGAATGCAAATTTTCAATGGAAAGCCGTTGACAATATTCCGCGATGTCAGATGTGTGAAGCAGTAGAGAAAATTTTCCGATTTGGATTTTCCTCACACTCATCGTTGTTCTCACAGAACGGGAGAAAGCGAGCGAGAAAGAGCGAAAATTCGCATATATTTAGTTGGTGTGTGCAATTGTTAGTTTTGTTGTTGTTACTCTCGGTGTCTCCGCGATGTTCGTTCGTTCGCTGTTTTTTTCTTCTCTTTTTTCGTTCTACAGTCCCTTTTGATTCCGTGTGCATTTTTCACTCTCACAAATTCCGTGGTACGCTTTTTTTTATTCGCTTTCTCGTCCGTTCTCTGGCACCTCTTCAGCGTAATATATAACATATATTTATATGGTTCGTATGTGCGTGTTCATTACATTTTATAATTGATGCAGTTCTGTTGCCGTTTCGCGAATATTGGCTGTGTATGTGCATTTTGTGGGAATGTTCATGGATTGATCCGCGCGCGCGAAAATTCGCGGTACAGTGAGAAGAAAACAAATATTGTGAGCCAAACTTCGATCGACCGGAATAAAGGGAGCGAAAAGGGGAGTGCAAGTGAACGAAAGAGATCAAGCTGCTGAATTGAAAGAGAGAAAGAGTGGGAAAAGAAGCGAAAGAAGCAATAGAAGTAAGAGGAGCAGGAGAAGCAAGAGAAGGCAATAGTTGCCAAGAAAATCTCTTTTGAATCGGTACGACACTGAATAACAATGCATTTTCGTTCAACTGAATGCAAATAAATCGGATTTTTCGATTGGGTAAGTTTCGAAAGTAAATAGCATGTGGTCGAATTGCCACACTTCTGGCCAAGTGCAATGAAGCTCTGCCGCCTCGAAAGTGCATATTTACCCACAATTATTTCATTTAGCCAAAAGAAAGCTACAGTCAGCTACAACCGTAGCGTAGAAACGGTGCAATTAAACCTTGAGCTTTTCGATGGATTCTCTCATTTGGCTGTGTGTGAATTTGTGGCAAACACTTACCCAGTCCTATTTTCAAGAATGTGCTAAATAATCGGATTCCATTTACTTAAAGTTAATTCCATTCTCCTGAAATAACTTTCCAAAAACCGATACCATTCATGTAATCATGCTAATTTTTTGCTCGTTAATGCAAAAATACATACCACAGACGCAGCAGTGTGTCACACACAAAACCTTCACACAGGAGAGAGAGAGAGAGAGAGAGAGAGAGAGGGATAGAGAGAGGAAATGTGCCCAAAATAATTCAAAGCTTGTTACAAATACCCACTTTGGTAGTAACACCATTTTGCAAACGCTTTAATTTCCAAAACCCCTGATTTGTTTTCGGCAATGAATTCATTTTAATTCCAAACACTTTGCGCGAAAGTGAATTCATTCCAATATCAAAACACTTGACTCGTTTTGGAGAATGGGTTTTTCGGGTGGCACAGTAACACATTGAGAACGAGGTAATTTTCACCACACATACACTCACACTCACACTCACTAAACACCAATTTCAAGTGAAATCAAATGAAGTGTGAAAATCAATGGGAACATTCACACATGTGTGTCGCTTTTATATAAGTCGTTTGTGGAAAAACGGCAAGCTTAGTGTTTTAAATCCTCACCCTCTCTGCCCGCCTAAACAAATCAAATTAATTTTTCGAAAGCTCATTTCCTAGCCGTACGCCGAAACGACAACAACAACAACGACAACAACGACGACGACGACGACGACGACGATGAACAACGGGTAAACAAAAGCGAGCGAACGACCGAATAAGCAAAAGCCAAGCGACAAAGATGGAGAGCGAGTGAGAGAGAAAGAGAACGGGCGAAAGCAAGTGAGACAGGGTATAATGTTGTTGTACCAATTCGAGCACGTGCTAAGTCATTTTCCACATATGTCAGCACATATTCATAATGTCTTCTAAGTTGGAAGTCATTAAGTAATGAGAGCGAGAGATACAGACACACAGAAGTATCTCGTTGCCAATTTTCATTATTGCAACCGAGAGCGGGAAAAATGTGTTCGGTGTTTGTTTCTGTGTGAGAGTGTGTCGAGTGAGCGAGTGTGTGAGAGTTAGTCAACATCGACAACGGCGATGACAACGTGTAAAAAGAAGAAGAAATAGAGAAAAAAACGAATGTGAACAAAAACATAAACACAAATGAATAAATGAATATGAAACTCAGTGTACAAGGTGCATGCAATGGGGCATTTCTTGGTGAGACAGCGCACAAATGTTACTTAAAGTTGATTTTGGATGGCGCGCCATCAACTTTTTCGTGTGAAAGAGAGAGAGAGCGAGCGAGCTTTCGTTCATCGTCATCGACGTCACGTGCAAACGAGATAGAAACACGGAAATTCGTGTGTACAGAGAGAGCATGATTGTATTTTAGTTTTTGGTGAGAAACTCAATATTTCGCTATTGTGGCGTTACACAGTGGCTTTGTGCTCAATGGAAAAGAGAACGAGCGCAAAAAATTTGGCCCACATTTGTTTTTCGTTGCAAACGATGCAATGTTTTGGATTCCTTTGCTTTGGTGAATTATTCATTCACTTCCTCGTTCTATGTTGCCAATACGCACACACACACACACACACACAAAAATTGTTTTGCGTACGCTGTTGTTCTTTTTCCTTCTTTTCCCTAGCCTTCGTTGCATTTCGCACAACGTGTTTTTGAAATCGATCGTACCGATTTGTTTCGAATGCGTTCCAGCTTGTCTTCGATAAGTTACTGTTGTTGTTTGATTTCTTTTTTTCGGTTGCTTTTGTTGTTGTCATGAATTGTTCGTGCTATTTACGGCTTTGTTGCTGCTGTCGTCTATGATAAATACACGATTGATTACATCGTTGCTCGGCTTCTGGCCCTAGCTCGATTTTCTGCGTGTGCCGTTTTCTCGCTCTTTCTCCGTTCAAGCTCTTGCAATCTCCTTCATTTTCTCGCACACACTGCCGTTCGAATCGAACCATTCGGTGTTGTGCAGAAGCGAGAGCGAGTGGTTGAGAAAGCCAATGTGCCGAAATTTGTATCGACATTCCGTTCGAGCATTCGATCGTATTTGCATTTAACATAAAATTTCCATTTTTATTGCTAAAACCCATTATTTTCGGCATGCAAACGATTTTGATCGGATTTATGCCTTCCACTCGCTCTCTTTCTCTCGCTCGTGTGTGTGTGTGTGCTTTTTTCTTTCTTCCTTGCTGTTACGGTTGATTGTTGTTGCAATTATTCTTTGTTATTATTACTTCTCTTCTCTTGCAGTCAAAACTGCACTAGAACACACACACACACACTCTTTCGTTCCGTCGGCTCGGTCGTTTTGGGGTTCGAGTAGCTGGTTTCACTTTGCACGTAACACTCATGACATTCGAGTGGAAAACAATACTATCCAAGTGCAGCATTTGAGCGGCAAACGGGTTGCTGTGCAAACGCAAGAAACGCATTCTTCGAGCACACACAAGCACCACACATACACACTGACGCTGGCACAGTGAGTCCCAAAGTGCAAAATCAAAATGAACGAGAAGTCGAGGCATGCATCGCATGCCAATGATATACATACATTCAGATATTTGCTTCAAGATTCGACAGCACTTCGTCATTGTTCCGTTTTGCTTGTTATGAATAGGAAAAAAAGCACCGAGAAAGAGAGGCGAAGTGAAAAAAAAAGAACTTCTAACAGCCCAAGTAAATGCTATTGTTTTCGAAAAGTTCAAAGGGATCTACTGAGGCCTTGATTTTTCTTTTGCCAAACGGAGCGAACGAGCGAACAAAAAAATGATAAAGGAAGACATTCAAACCATTTCCCGTTTGCGCCAGTTCCAAACAGCCCGAACAGGCGAACAACAATCGTGCTACATCAAGGTTTTCTTACAAGTGGTGCGAATCGATAGCGAGAGCCAAAAGTACATTGTAAATTGTAATCATTCCAATGCCTCTGTGATTGCATTGCAATCGCATTTCCACCATTTAAACATTTTCAAATTTAACGTCATGCGAATGTGCATGCGATGGGTGGCCGTGCATTTGTGTGCCTTGGCATGTATGTATGTGTGTGTGGTGCAGAAAATATTGTTTTAATGTGTAGCCCCGAAAATTCGATTATTCGAGAAACGCTTTGAATATGTCACACACACACACACCGCTTGGAAAAGTGCATTTGGCAAACGCTTCCGGTTTGCCGGAATCAAGTTTTAATAGAATGGGTCAAAAATTGAAATTCCCGCACAGGCATCCGGACGACAAAATGCGTTGCCGTGGCCAAACATTCATGAGCACATGCTGATTTTCATGCGATTCACTTGTTTTTTTCTATCGAGATATTACAGCAACCATAGAGAGAGAGAGAGAGAGAGAGAGAGAGAGAGAGAGAGAGAGAGAAGCGGAGACGAAGGGAGAGTACGTTTAGTACAGGAACAATTCGAACATACTTCTCTCATCCTACGGATTCCTCTTCTATCGCTTCCCCTCTCCGCTTTTGTCTCGATGCCATTTCTAGTCAATTGTCACTTATGACATTTATTATTTGCGACAGATACTGTTTCGGCCATTTCGGTTTTGAGCGACAGGCGAGGAGGATGAGTGAATGTGTCGCCCATTTGGCAAATCGGTTTTACACACCGCCATACACATGCTGTTGCTGTTGTTCTGCCATGCTGCCAAATATTTGCACACTTTTGAGACATACACAAAACACACATTCGAAAATGATCGATTTGTTGGAGAGACTTTATTCGCTCGGATTCATCAATTCAACAACCATCGATCATTGGAATGGTGGAACCAAACAGCAGCAACATATATCCTATCTGCTGGTACAACTGGTGGTATTTTACACCATGCAAACATTTCTTTGACGAAATTCATTTTTCGGTATGCATCATGAAACGAAGAGAACGAAAAGAAGTCGAATTCCAAAACGAAGAAGTTGAGAAAAAAAAAATGCAAAGTCAAAAATAGACGAAACTGAATCGAAAAGGGAAGGATGAAGAAGAATTCGAAGCGCAAATAAAAAGGCAACACTTCTTCATTGAGCGATTTACTTCTTATGGTTGGGAAACACATAAACCACTACATCTAGTCGGGAATAACTGAAAAACTATGAATTTTCGTAAACGTTTCGTTTTACTTATTTTCTTTCTCTATCTCGCTCATTCATTTGCTTCGATTCTTGTTGGATTCACTCGGTAACATTTGGACTTTTCTTCGTTTCTTGCTTTTGTTCCACACTTTCTCTCACATGGGGTCATTTTACTGTTTTAGTGTGCATCCATGTGAACGATTTGTATGTGTTGGTGTCGATATTTTCTATTTTTTCCTCTCGATTTGCATATGGGTCGCATTTTTGGATGCGAATGCACTAACTACGAGAGCAGTAAAGCGAAGAAGCATGGCAAATATACTCCCAATAAATTGACTCGTGCATGGATCGAGCGGCAAGTTGGCCGTCTCGCAGCAATATGAGATGGATAGAAAGGGAGCAAAAGAAAGTATGAGGGATAGATAGTAATGGAGGAAAAAAGAAAATAGTCAGACCAAGCTCAAGCAAACGAGAGATCCAAAGAAGGAGCGGCGGCACGAAGCGCATGAAAATTTATGAAAAGAGATACATTTTATATGGAAGAAACGCACGACTGACAACACAAAGAACAACAAAACTGGCGAGAGAACGAGAGAGTGAGAGAGTGAGAGAGAGAGAGAGAGAGAGAGAAAGGAACCGCACAGGAAATTGTTTTGGAAGGAAAATAAATCAGAATCTTTTTACTTTAAGAAAGACATAAACATAAAAATCAGAATCACTGCAAAAGAACAGCAACAACAAAGCAAAGCGCCAGCTCACAGTTTCGATAATAAAGAGACGATAGAGCAAAACGAGAAACGGAGTGAGAGAGAAACAGCATCGAAACAGAGATAAAAACGAACACGGTGACAACAACGACGACGACGACAAAGAAAAACGAATAGCGAATTGAAAATGGAATGAAGTTTTTTTTTTCTCTCTTTCTCCGAAAAATGGCGATATCTCTCGGCTTATGACCATGGAAATGGAGCTTGATTTGGGAAAACTGACACTTGTTTTCATATTTTCTTGCGAACAAAAAGATCAAGATAAAAACCATTTTTCCAGCGTTGAGAACGAAGATATTTTTCTTTTTGCTTTGGTTGTTCGTTGACAAAAAAACCGCTTTCTTCCTTTTGTCATGCTCACTCTAAATGCCATCGAAACGTTACAGTACAAAACAAAAAATTAACGGAACTCAAAAAAAAAAACTCTAAAATATATTAATTTGTGATAAAACGAAATAAGTATAAACAAATAATAAGAAGAAGAACGCGAATCCAATTCGGAACTGAAGTTTGTTTGAGGGAAAAAGAAATCAATCGAAACGGAGTATCATTTTTGGGAGATTTAGCTGGAGTAAACAATGTAAGTAGCTCAGTTTTTCTTTCAAAATCAACTCACTTTTCAACAGGAAATTGATTTTGTTGATGGTTTTTGTGTTATTTTGGGAAACATTCACTTTTTAACGGCCTTCGACACATTTTCTGGAAGAAAACGCCAATTCAGCATGTTGAATGTTGAACGTATCCCGAATATAACTTTAACGTATCCTTACAGAAATGTTGGATTAAACCAAAATCCAGAAGAGAATGGAAAAAATTGGAAAAATTGAAATTTAGGAAGAAAAAAAAATTCAGCAAAAAATTGTAAAAAATCGAATATCGAGCTGAAAATGAATGAACCTTCATTTTCTATCGCCTTCGATTTGATTAAATTTGCGAAATTCATTGTTGACAGCGACAAAAAATCGTTGTGGTGTTTTTATATCAAAAGTTCACTAAGCCATTTTTTCTTTGTTTGACGCGACGTTTACATGTATAAGAGGTAAGACATGTCAAAGTTAACTAAAAAGCGATTTGTGTCGATTTCCATTAGAAATGAACGAAAGGGGAAAACCTACGAGAAAACATGTTGGAAAAGCTAGACTCATTGCATTTTCAACATCCGCAGCTAATGCCAAAATGTTTGCTACCGCAAAAATTTGTTACACAGAATGTTAAATCGTAATTGGTTATTGCCGTTGATTACGTTTAAATTGGTTTGGCATTGTAGGCTGCTCCAAATATGTACTTGTCAATAGACTGGACTCAGGTGTGGCAGTTGTGTCAAAATATTGCCGATTATTTTCGGTTATTAGCGAGTGCAAAAAAAGCACATTGTTCGAACCGAAAAAAGCACAAGACTGCGTTTCACTCACGTAATCGCCAATGATGAATTGTGCGTGTGGCGAGTCAAAAAAAAAGAGCTCGATGACTTTTGGAGCCTTGTTTTCTGTTTGCGAATCGAAATTGAATCGAGAGAAGAAAAAAAAAAACACGGTTGAAAGATTGTGGGAAAAAGGATGGAAAGGCGGTAAATTCTAAACATGTGCAGTATTTGGAGCATGCCGAGCATCTCTCTTAGCATCAAGAGTGGTTCACACTCCAGAAATGTGTTGCAAAATAATCCGGTAGCAATTAGTATCGCTGACAGTTACATTATTCCATTACACATACAGCATCAATATTACAATTCGGTTGGGCCGGTTGAACAAAACTCAGGTATCGATTGCCTGTTGTTGTTGCCTGCTTCGCATTTTTTTCTCTGCCGCTGTTACTGCCTCACTCTCCGTTCTTTGCATGACATATAAATACATGACGAAGTTTGGGTGAGTGAGTGTGTCGTTGGTTGTTCTGGAATCCAACAAGCGCATTATGAATAATGAAGGCAAATCAACCATATCCCTCACACCCATCGCTAGCTCGCTCGCCCATTCAATCAGCAAGCAAACACACAAATTACCACACCGCGTGCGAAAATGCGATGCATTTACATCCTGAATCCTAGCGCATAATTGTAAGACTACAACATCGTCGCCGTGTATGGTTGTTTCGCAAAAAACAACCATCACACGCACAGAAAGAGCTGATGATGATGACAGAACAAGAAGTAAAAAAAAAAAACAGCAGAACGAGGCGAAACAAAAAAGAACACGACGAACAACACCATTTGCAACAATAAAAATAAATTATATGTAAATTGCAATAAAATCATTCGAAATTATTCATAGTGGCAAAATTGAACGGTGTGTGCGCTCGCGGAGTGTTCGCATGCAGGGGAAAAAAATTGTGCGCGTTGCTCATATAAAATATTGTTGCGCTAAATGAATGAGAGCGGGAAAAATGTCGCATGTAATATGATTGAAATGAAAATATGAGTAAACGGAGAGGACTGGAGTGTGACCGAGAGCGGGCGGGTGAGCAAATAAACGAATAAACAGCCAAAGCTAATAGATAACGCGACAGCAACAGAGGAAAAAGGGAGCCGCGATCACGAGTGGAACGAGAAAGAAAAAAATGCGGACAGCTTTTAATTTCGATTGAAACGAACCATATTGATAATGTTGCTCTCGAGTTCGTAGGTAATTCTTGCATAATCGCTTACACGTATAATTCGATTGTAATTTATTGCTCGTTCAATGGCAAACATTAATTCAACTATTTCACACTCTCTCACTTACTCTTACTCTTACTCCAATATCCTGACTCCCCCCCTCTCTCTCTCTCTTGCATTTTTCTACTCTTCCCTTCGCTTCCCGGCCATTTCGCTGCTCGTCGCTAAAGCTGTACAAATAAATAAATGTTAATTACATCGGGATAAAGCTTTGTAGATATATTTTATGACCCCAAATATGTTGGCCATGTGATGATTTTTGTTTGCATTTGTCATGCCATAAGTCTTCATATCGATGGATTTATTTCGTGGATGCTTCACATTATTGCCATCATGATTAAAACTTGATATGGAAAATGGAGAGGCGGGCAGAGTTGGGCCAAACGTTGATCATTTCCGATGGCATCTCGATAATTTGACTGCAAAATTCAATAATTATCATTGGAAAAACCTTTTTTGTTGTTGTCCAAAATCAGATTCATGAGAAATCGAAAAGCTTTTTGTTTCATGGGAAATTCGATTCCACTCGAAAAGAGAATGAACCTCATTATTTCGCTTGCTGTGTAACATAGGTTGAAAGCGTCTTTTTTTCTATAACCCTTTTTTTTCTTCTAATTTTTCGTGTCATTGGTTCTATAGAAGTTTGATAGAATCAATGACAGATTTGCCCTTTGAATGCTGCTTCCAACGGCTAAATAAATATTCAAAAAATGAAGTTCGCTCTTTGATTCTACCCCATGAAAATCACTAGCCATTGAGTTCTTGATGGACGTTCGCGCGTGCAAACCATATTTAATTAACTAAATTATTGCCAATAATATTTCAATAATGTACCCACCACCATCACTCCTACTCTACTCTAAAACCTAAAAAATGATTGCCACTCAAAATTTCCGGAATCGGTACCAATTTGTTGCGCGGGCTCAGGAATGTTTGAGTGTTCAACCATGCCATCGCATCGAAAGCACCGCGGAAAAAAAATAATCCTTTTTACCATAATTATTATATTCATTTCAATGAATTTAATTTAATTTCGAGTGCAAATCTAGTGTTAAATTTTCGCATTTAATAATGTTGATCAAACATTTGCGTTTGTGTGTGATTGGTGTGGTACAGAAATTAAGATTCGTGCGACACATTTGTGGCAGTGATTGGACACACACAGCCTAGCTCGAACGGTATTTTACTCCGAACACACTCATAATGTGTTATAATTTATTGTTTATGGTTGCGCGTTGCTGACGATGTCGTCGTCGCCTTCGTCTCTGTGCTTGCATTGTTTCAAGCGTAAACACATTTTCGTCGTGATTAGGATTATTGTATCGAAAAATAGATATCGGAATAAATCTTATCAAGTCAACCGCAAAGCCGTGCATACACCGTGCACACCTATACTTGGTGATTGTGACGTCGATGGTGTGCGTGGTGGGTAGTAAGCTGGAGAAAAATGTAGTGAACATGTAGCATGTGATGGTGTGACAGAGGGTGGCTGGCATTGATGACGTATTCTTGATTATATATTTATTCTCGACAAAAGCATCAACCGCACTTTTTACATGACATTGATGTGAATTGCCATCGGAATTCCAAAGCAAATTAAAGTATATTGTTCGAATGTGTCACTTTGGCATTCACACACAGCGCCACACACACACACACACACACATTCCGAAAATCGGAGGCAAACTACAATTATTCGAAAACGCCACGTTTTGTTGCTCCATTGTTTATGAGTTGATTAGAAAACAATCGTGAGCGTCAGTAAATACAATGGCATTCAAAATGCTATTTAAATGTTCATATTAAACAATTTATACAATTTGCCATTTAATTTAATATTTCATTTCATGCTCCACTCTTGAGACTCTCGATCGGTCGCTATCTCGCTCTAACTGATTCGCGTCGCCATCGTCTCTCCACTCACTCGATGCCATGCTCTGCATCGAAAAGTGACTCTTTGTTCTCGGTGTGCGCTCTGTCTCTCGCTCCTCACTATCCATGCTTTTTGTCTCATCAGTCGGTCTCGATTGGTTTGTGTCGCCTTGGACTTGTTTCACCGTCGCTCACATCGACGAGTAAAACCCGTGTGTTGAGCTTTCCTTAATTTGTACCCGCTTTTTGTTTGTTGCATTTGAATTTCAATGAGCTCAAAGTGTGTTCAAATTCACTTCTCTCTCTCTCTCTGTGTGTGTGTGTCTATCCTTCTCCTTCTCTCACTCTCTTTCTCTCTACCTCTCTTTCCATCTCTCAGTCTCACTCTCCGCTCCCAGCCACTTTTCATGGTACATATTTCATAGCGAGAATCCTCCAGAGAAATTATCACACTCTATGTAAATGATGCGACGACGATGTCGTTGCTGCCTCGGATGTCGCCGTTCTGTGTTTTCATTGTGTATTATCGTTCGATTCGGCTTTTTCATAGATGGGGTGATATTGGTTCGCCCGTTTGAGTGTGAGTGTGTGATATTTTTCACCTTAATCCACATGTTATATGCCATAAAGTTTAAGTGTTTGGTTGACGGCTTTTGCATTTCTTCGACGCCTTGTCGTCATCATCGTCGTCGGCGTCGTTACAATCGTCGAAGCTAATTATCTCAGCTAATGTGTGATGAAAATATTGCTCATTTGTGGAATTTCGTTCCGAGAATTTGCGCTGATTCAATTTATTAAAATGTTGTTTCACGGAATCGATGAAATGGTTGCGTTAGCAATTAACCGCCGGCTCCCTCCACCATCACCACCACCACCACCTCGTCATCTCACCCACGCAACGAACATTTAATATTCCAAGTATATTTACTTGACATTGCAATGACCCATTATTATATTACGGAGCTCATACCACCCGGAATACAAACATACATAATAATTGGTCCATTTTAATGCACACGTATTATGATCTAGATTCAATCGTCGACATGTGAATAAATTAA